AAATGTGCATTGTCCTTCAGATCTTTCGTTCCATCTATTAACAGTAAAACTGTGCATTATCCTTCATATCTATTGTTTTATCTTTTAACAGTAAAACTGTGCATTGTCCTTCAGATTTTTCGTTCCATCTATGAACAGTAAAACTGTTCATTGTCCGTCAGATCTTTCGTTCCATCTATGAACAGTAAAACTATGCATTGTCCTTCAGATCTTTCGTTTCATCTATTAACAGTATAAAACTATGCATTATCCTTCAGATCTTTCGTTCCATCTATGGTCAGTAAAACTCTGCATTGTCCTTCAGATCTTTCGTTTGTTCTATAAATAGTAAAACTGTGCATTGTCCTTCAGATCTTTCGTTCCATCTATGAACAGTAAAACTGTGCATTGTCCTTCAGACCTATCGTTTTATCTATGAACAGTAAAACTTTGCATTGTTCTTCAGATCTTTCGTTACATCTATTACCAGTAAAAATGTGCATTGTCCTTCAGACTTATCGTTTCATTCTGAACAGTTAAAACTATGCATTGTCCTTTAGATCTTTCGTTCCATCTATGAACAGTAAAACTGTGCATTGTCCTTCATATCTTTCGTTTCATCTATTAACATTAAAACTGTGCATTGTCCTTCAGATCTTTCGTTTTATCTATTAACAGTAAAACTATGCATTGTCCTTCAGATCTTTCGTTCCATCAAATTTGGAAAAACGTGTAAATTCTACAATGTTTTATTCAAATTGCTTTCTTGGGAATCTGCAGGTCTGAACAACAGTCTGTATAAACGATTGTCGTTGAATTCATTATTTTTGGAAATTAACCAAATTCTTTCAAAATAACAATTTTGGGGCATTTATGATTTGCAATTTGAAATAAATTGCAAGGGACCTTGTTCAGTTTAAGAATTACAATGAACTTTTTTTTTTACAAAGTACTAGCAGTACATGTAAATTTATGTTATAGCGTGTGCTGTTTAATTCAGTTATATTAAAGTGAAGCTTTTATGTTTCCTTGAAATGGTGAATCTTCATGTTTACCCAATCTTACCACTTGTTGCAACATGCTCACGTTAACTATATTCATAGACTTCTCAAAATAAATCATTGACAAAGCCTAGAGACAAGTATCAGATTGATCAACTATATGGTACAACACACGTTAATTTAAAAGTAGTTTTCCATTAATTTGGAATAATGTCACAAAAACAAACTTTACTGCTTTATTAAATTGCATACAAGATTTTATTGAAACTACAATTTATAAAATTGAATGTCATCGTAAACTAGGTAAAACTGATTCTTGACATGCAAACTGTTGCTAAATGGAGCTGATTTAAATATAGGAAGTTTGATTTCTATAATGGGCTTTAAATAATGTATGGACAGGATCAACGTAATGCTTGTCTACATTATTAGGTTTGCTTTCGGAGATTTTGTTGAAAGATAGACATACAGATTTTGCAATAGATTTATTTAACAGGTACAAATGTTTCTATACGAATGCACTGCATGTTTAATACTTATTTTGTGAACTTGTTCCCATTTAAAAAAACCGGCATGAAGTATTTTGTAGGGGGAGGGGGTTTCTAGTTTTCGTCTCAATTTCTTCTGCACTTCATACATATTTGAATATCTGAATTATCACTTTTGCAGTAGAAGCGGGTTTAATCTTTTTAGGTGAATATGTTTCCATTGCATAATTGAAACAGTAAGGGTCTTTTTTTTCACTCTCTGTTGGTTGTATATTTTTTAGTTGTCATGTAGGCTTATTTCAAAGTCACAACAATGAGAAAGTGGCAAACCGGTGGTATTCTCAAATAAAGGACACGTGGGATCCATGGTACACTGATGTATCAACAACCCAGTAGTCCGCACTATGTTGACATGACATATCATTGATATGTTTATTTTTCTGTAAATTGACTGTTTATAAAATGTTGATTTATTCGAAACACTAATGTTGTTCTACCCCCAGGTATAGATTGCCTCATTTGGCACAACTTTTTAGAATGTTCGGCTTTTGATGCTCTACACCTTCATATTTGACTTGGCCTTCCAACTGTTTTGAATCGAGCGTCACTGATGAGTTATGTGTAGACGAAACACGCGTCTGGCGAACAGAATTTTAGGCCTGGTATCTTAGTTTAAACAGTTAACCTCTTTTATTAAAATCTGCAATATAAAACAAGCCTTAGCATATGATATCAACTGGGAAACGTCAGCACATTCAAAAGGGGGGATGGGCAGATAGTATGCGTCTACTCAAGAGATAGAAAAAGGAGGTAGAGGACACGAAGTGGACACTCAACAATCACGAGTCAAAGTAAAATAGACACTACTACGGCCATAAAGAAAAACGACAAATGTCAAACAAATCTGAAAAAAACAGGATTTGAAATGGCACCCGTTTACAATGACAAAACTGATTTCCATGTATGAAATTTGAGCTTTCCATAAGTATTAATTCAAAGGAAAAATGTCGATATAAAGAAAGGTTCGCTCGAGTATACGAGACGTACATATATTAATTGAAAACAGAATCATTGATTTGAGGGATATTATCAATACGTCAGAGAATGATAGGAAAGTATGAATTGACTAGATGTTTCTTATCTTCTTGTCTTTAAGAAGGTTTTGTGTAAACTTTTCTTTATATGAGAATCGGTACAAGTCAGCTAGTAGGGTGCTTATTTTGATGCAAACTTAATGTTGGTATATCAGTCCACCAACTGATGTGTTGTCAATCAGAAATTCTAGCAGTTTCCTAAATCCTGTTTTCGTTTTTTTTGTTCCTACAATGTCTGTCATTCTTAAAAGCATCTTTTATCTACATTTTGCAAAGGAACGGGTTTTTGCGTTTATCGTTTTTTTTTGGATGAAAAGATGTGAACAATTTAGAGTGTTGAACATTCTAAATTTTTGTAGCTTTAAATTGCTGTAATTGCAGGTATTTTAAGAAAGTCTTTTGAAATTTTAACTGTCCCAATTTGATGCTTTTAGAATGTATTCTACTGACGTTTCAGTCTCGTTGAAATCTCGTTCTGGAATCATTTCCAAAACATGTGATACAAGTGGAAAATATCAATGAATTTAAAAAATATTATAATCAAACTTAAATCTGTGAAAAAATTGTGTATTTACAATAAGTAGTTTTTGAGCAATAAAATTATCCGATTTTATAACCAATCAAGTCAGTCTCATTAGCCAAAATGTTGAGAAAATTGGTGAGTGGTACAAGAAACGATTTTACCAGATACATGTACATCCCATATCAATTTTTTCTTTTCAAATTTCTTAGATATGTATTTTTTCAATCATTTATAACAGAGAAATCGAAATAATATGCTTTTTGTTCTAAAAAATAGAGAAAAATCCCAAAATTACAAAATTTACAACATGGTAATTTGACACAAAAAAGCAACAAAATTTTATAAAACTTTCTTATATTAACACCTACCTATAGTATTTTTAAGTTAAATTTATTCAGATTGGTCCACTTCATCTTTAGTGAAAGTATGAAAAAAAGTTTAATTGTGAAACTGTGATTTTTTTCATGATAATAGCCCAAAAATGGGTAAAAATTGATGAAAAATGAAAAAATCATCAAAATTGGGTACTTTCAAATAGCTGTAGCAAAAAAAGAAGTGCACCATCATCTGATTTTTTCTTCACCAATTATTTTTTTACAGTCATATAAACCAAAAAAATCAGGTTAAGAAACATAGTTTAATTCTAGAAATGTTTGGCTTCTCAGAGGTGTAAATCTTTAAATGCCTGTACCAAGTCAGGAATATGACAGTTGTTGTCCATTCGTTTGATGTGTTTTGTCATTTGATTTTGCCATGTGATTAGGGACTTTCCGATTGAATTTTCCTCGGAGTGCAGTATTTTTGTGATTTTACTTTTTCCTCAACTTTTAATATTATTATTATCCTTGTCTTATGAAGCTGAAAATATACCATGGTTGTATGACAGAAAAAAATAAGTATGCGTCATATGTATATAGTTGGTATACGTTCATTTATATTTTTTTCCTAAATGTCATGTCTCTTAGGTTGTTTTCATGATTGGTTTGGTCATTTGCCATTCTTATTAAGGTCACTGATACCATTATATTTTTTTCTGTAATTATCGTCTCGGACGTACATTATGAAGTTAAATTACAATTCACATATTCCCAAATGTATTTACCATCTACAGTTTATTCGAAAATGAGAGTAAATGATAAATCCTATCGATCTTCACTGACATTAAGTATACTATACGTATTTGATAGGACATCCTTTAATAAAATTAAATAAATAAGTAACAGGCAAAGTTGACCATAAATGGATTTGGTTATTATTTTTTTGGTCCTTTTTGGTTACATAGCTCTTCAACTGTTTCGGTTCTTATACATCCTTGGCTTTCAAATATTCGGCTTTGAGCGTTCCTGATGAAGGTAAATCCAGAAAAGCGCTTCGGACGCATGAAATCTATAACGTTGTTTTAACAGCAAAATGGTTTGTATTAACAATTGGAATTTAACAAACAGGTTGGTGATACCAAACTGCATTAAATATTAGACAACAGAAGTTTACCGATGTTCAAAACTTATAAATCAATTTGAAAATACAAAGAGAAAAATATCCGGAGGGAATCACATGAATATAAAATGGAAATTAAAAAAATCGGAAATCTGAAATTATAGCAAGAAAGCAGGTGTTCGGAAGAACAATTAGAACTTACATATGCACAGAGAATACTTAGAATGATGAACCTCACCCAAATATATTGTGTGATATAAAGTATTCTTCAAGGATAAGTATAAAAACACCTTCATAATTCTAATTCATGATTTCTTTAAATCATTGAGGACCTGCTGTAATATTTCAAGACATACTGAAATATAATTACAGAGGTCCTGAAACCGAATAATGGGGGTCATGAAATAGAATTTTGTAGGTCCTGAAATACTGGATATTGCGATTTCTATTGTTAATCATTCAAATTATTTTTTTCCAGATGTAACGACAGCACACAAAGGTAGACAAAAATGACAGGATTAGTGTAAATAAAATGGATTACATCAAGCAGTTTGAGATCGAGCTGGATAAAGATGTGTACTATGCTGGCGAAACATTATCTGGATGTGTACTTGTCAAAAATACAGAAAATGTGAAAGTACAAGGTTTGTGTCTACCTTACATTTTATAAAAGAACAAATCAAGATGTTATATATATTAAATCTAACAAACAAAGCCATTAATACCTGACCCGTACAGTGCACAGACACCAACTACCAATGCTCAATAAATGTATTTGATGTACATTTAAGTTCAAACACTGTGTGTAATATTTTGTAAGAAATTAATATTATTATTATTTGTTTTACAGTTGACATACTAAAGAAGGACACTGCCTTATTTAACCCGATTTTCCTCGTCAAATTTTCTTTCAATCATATTATTTCTTATAAACGTTTTGATTTGTTCTTTTAAAAGTGTTCTTTTCATATTACATAATTTTATGTTTGTAGAACGCTTTTTCATTGAAGTTTTTTTTTGTGTTACGAGTTAATCAACAGCATTTGACACGTTACAAAACTATCCAGTTATGAAATGATATAAAAATGTTACAATATAAAATTATGAAATTTCGATTAAAATGTACGCTTATTTTCAAGCACAATAAAAGCAAATTATACTTGCTGTATTTGCTGTTATGTCATGAATTATAAATACACGGTATAATTTGATGTTCACTTCGCTGTCCGATTTGACTAATTAGTTGTGAATACCTGTTTAAACAAGGAAGTATCAGTAAAAAGTAAAAAAAAAACAAAAATACCGAACTCCAAGGGAAATTAAAAACGGAAATTCCTTTATAAAATGGCAAAATCAAAAGCTCACACACATCAAACGAATGGATAACAACTGTCATATTCCTGACTTGGTACAGGCATTTCCTTATGTAGAAAATAATGGATTAAAACTGGTTTTATAGCCAGCTAAACCTCTCACTTTTAAAATCTCCCGTAAAAACGGGATAAATAACGGAACCAATTAGATATTTAAGTGCAAAAAAGTACTGTTGAAAATCCAGGTAACAGTTGTTTACCTATGTTCAAATCCAGGTAACAGTTGTTTACCTATGTTCAAATCCAGGTAACAGTTGTTTACCGATGTTCAAATCCAGGTAACAGTTGTTTACCGATGTTCAAATCTCATAAACATATTAAGAGCATACAAACCAAGGTAAACAAACTGAGAGAATCACAATGACTAGTACATCTTAGAATCTTTTTAATTTTCGTTTTTTTTTTTGTAAGAGTTTCAAATTCTGTGAGTATTATATCTTACTTATACAGTTAGCGGTTTGCATGTTGAAAGACTCTTAAAATGCTAAATTTAAAACATATTTACTAAAATAGATGCCATTTTTGTTGAAGTTGCAGGAGAATGCTTATAACTGCATTTTTTTTTCTCAGGACTTTGTACTTAACAAACCTACAAACTAAAACAGTATCTATTTTGAGACCAAATGAAAAGTTTCTGGCCTCTGTGAATATGAGAACGTGCAATAAAAGAAAGAGTATAAATGTTGACAAAATTTCAAACGTACGAGAGAATATCTGCTGATACTAACTGAAATATCTCTGGCCTCTGTAATGTTACTTAGACTGTTTTTGACGTCTTTATAATAAATCCGTTGAATGTGTACTGGTTGATACTTTTGTCGGGGAGAACATGATTTAAGTTGTAATTCTCTTTGAACTTGCTTTCAGAATCTGCGAGTACTTTTATGTTGGTGTTTTGTGTCTATTGTTTTATGCTAGTTGCTGTTTTTGTGCTTTGGACTAATCTATTGAGTTAAGTCATTTGCAAATGATTTTTAATGTTTATTCTTATTTTGTGCTGTTACACCACTGTCCCAGGTTAGGTTAATAGTTGAAATTTTACCAACATTATTTATGTACCTGTTCCAAGTCAGGAGCTGTAATTCAATGGTTGTCGTTGGGTCATGTCTGTCAAATTTCTTTTGCGAAAATTGTTTTGTTGTAAATTAGGCCGTTAATTTTTCTCGTTTGAATTTTTTCACGTTATTCATTTAGGGGCCTTTTATTGCTGACTATACGGTATGAGGTTTTCTCTTTGTTGAAATCCGTATGGTCACCTATAATTGCTTATATTCATGTCATTTGAACTCTGGTGGATAGTTTTCTCATTGGCAATCATACCACATGTCTTTGAAACAACGTGTCCTTATTTTTGTATTGAAATGCGTTTTCAAGTTTAAAACTTTTTGACTTACTAGATATAAAACAATCCACCCAATTTTTATTAAGAAATTTACTCTTAGATATCAGTGGCATTAAACACGCGTGCATAGACTTACATGATTCCTCGTTCGTTTTTCTCTATTAAGATCAAAAGCCATCGTTACAGTGTCATACTTGCCATATTTTTACTAACATTTTCAATTTTTGTGTTTTTCATTTATGTTGCATTAGATGTAGAAACCTGTTATCACGGCTACGATTTTAAAATGTTGATGAAGTTTCTGATTTAAATATTAAAGAAAAATCGAATATTGAAAACATTCTGATGTCTTTCTTTTAATGAGTTCATCGAGTGCGATAAAATGAAATGATTTCGTTTTCGCATGTTAATGAAGACAGTCAAAGCATAATCAACATTGTTGAAATTAAGGAAGTTGATTAAATGAATACGACGGTCCGTAAAACTTAGTGCGCTCGAATTTAAATATCAAAGCTTGATAAATATTAAGCTATTTAAATGCATCCGACGTAACTAGGTGTAAAACTAAGTGCGCTAGAACTAATATAAAAGCTGGATACATTTAAAATTTAAACATTAGAAATATTTGTTAGAAAAACAACCTGGACAAAAAAATCAACTGACGACTATCTTTTATCACGGCATATAAATCAAGATATAATTAACTAAACCATAATTTTAAACTATTGAATCCACTGTGAGGAGATAACTGTATGGTTAAAGCTTGGCCTGCGTAAAAATAAAAAAAAATGTGCTGGAATTCCCATTTTAATTGAAATTGAAATCCTGTTGTCTTGGTTAAATTTTTAACAAGATTGTTCTGTTTGGATTTTGTTTTATTAACTTTCGGACAGAAAAAAAGGAAATATGTCTCTCTTACTATGATAAGAGCCGACAGCACTTTTTACACCGTTGTTTGAAAGTCGTAAATTATTTTTATTGGAAATTCTGTTGTCATACCAACCAAGAAAAAAATCGTGCGGTAATCGCATGAGCTACAAACGCAGAGAGATCAGGTGCGTCGACTGGTTAAGCGTCTCCTCCTATAGCTGCATACGGCACCTGCAATGTAAATCCAATGTAATGAGAGGGAATAGACAAACATCATACTTTGTCTCCGGAAGAACTTGAATCCACAGCTTGTATGGGAATCCCATGTATTCTCCAACATCATCTATGCAATAGGAGATTAAAAATAAATATACAAATATGTCATTTTCTCTTTTGGTATTCACATTAAGGAAGCAATACACAGTTAGGAAAACAAAATTGACACTCACAACTTTAACCCGCCTCTTTCCATTGCTTTCTAACAATTAGGGCTTACTATTGTCATGTATGTGCATATGTATGGAAACAGCATCTTCTATAGATTTGAATTCCATTAGTTAAAATGATGAAATATAATATCTTTTTCATGTAACCATGGCAACAATCTGCATCTATTTGATACAAAATATTGCAAAGAGGTTGGAAATGTCACTAATTTCCCCAAAATTTGGTCATAAGTGGAATTTTAATCCTTTTGATTGACACCTTTTTAGGAAACCATTGACATTTATCTATCAAGAGGTCAAATAAAAATCATATGCATTTCAGCTCATTGTTTCATAAAATTCAATTGAAAATTATGAGCATAAACAAATTCTTGGAATATACTACAATAATTTCTGGAACTATGGCCGGCACGGATGTGAAAATGCGGACTGTCAAACAGAAAATGGGCTATAAAACATGCAAAAACAATCTTGATCTTCACATAAACCCACTTTGAAGGCTATATCATTTTTCAGCTATCTGAAAATTAATTTCATTGCACAATAACTGTCATATTTGAAAAATTCACCAGGACGAAATTTTGAAACCAAACTCCGAACTGTGTATTGCTACCTAAGATTAGCATCCTAAGCATATGAGGTCAACCCGATTTTTGTTGGGGTTCGTTTTTTTTTTTTGCATTGGTGTTTGTCTATTTTTCTTCAAACTTTAGTTGTTGATTCGACCAATATTTGTTGATTGATCTTTAGATATCTTCTCCCCTTTTTAGTCCTTATTTGTTCTTAGTTTAGCGATGCCAAGGTCCCCAGTCCGCGATCAGGACAATAATCAGTGGTGGATTCTTGGGGAGCTCCCCCTTTGAAAAAGCCTGGATCCGCCCTTGATATTTGTATGTTATCAATGGTTTAAATAGCCTGTGATGGGGCATGTCCATAACTATTGCAATTAAGTCTGTACATTGACGAATTGATATCTATAAAAGGAATGTGTTGGCCTATCAAAATGGTGAAGTGAGCTTGCATAATAGTATAGAATAGTTAAGTACAACGACGGGAACTCCCAAAGGCTTTTAAACCAAATGATGACACGATATGAACCTCTGGTAGTGTATTTGCGATGGTCATGACTACTTCTCCAATTTACAGAGACGTTAAATATTTCGTATTAGTTGATACTTCTACACTTGGGACTTGCAAAATTACTTCCGTTTCTTTTTCTGATTAAAAGGTCAGAAATAGTATACACATAGTTATGATTATAGATATAAATGAGTAAGTCATTTACTATTTATATATTCCCAAATGTCCTGCCATGTTTAGGATGTCGAGACAGAAGACGAATTATATTATAGTTTATTGATCATATTGGATTTGACAAGATGTATAAGTAATATGATTTGAAAATGTTGATCAAGTCGATTAAATATGATTGGAAAAAAAGTATAAGCAAAAATGCAGAAATTCAAGATAAATTAAAAAAAAAAAAAACCTCACAACATCAACGTTAGACTATATCAACCAAAGGATCGAATAGGAAACAACTATCGTATTCCTAACTCGGTACAGATATTTTCCGAGGAAAATGCTGGGTTAAAACCGGTTTTATACCTGGCTTAAACTCCAAACTATCTGGTTTCTAAAACTGTTAAATTTATATTTTTCAATTTAAAATGGAAATAGCACTTCATAAATTTTGTACGTCCGAATCGCTTTTCTGTGTTTATCTTCACCTGAAGTGCACAATACCTAAAAAATAAAAGTAAGGAAGTAAAAATACTTGAATACTTGAGAAACTATATGATGAAAAGGAATACACTTAATGGAATTAGGTCCAAAGTTTATTAATAATTTCTAAATTTACGGAAATTTAAGATCAATTGGCATGTTACTAATCATGCTAGTATTAAGTTCTGGCTACTGAGCTGACAAAACCCATATTAGACAACCATTCCACAATCAATGCCATCGAACTAGTGTAGAAAACAAAACTTCCACTTCATAAACTTGTTGCGTTTATTTCATTTCCAACTGAATACAAAAATACAATCCGACTAGTGTGTTATTGAAATGTAACATTCATGTGATGACAATGCCATTATTAACATATTATTCAAGAGTTTTATTGTATTTGATTAATAAAATAATTTGGCTTTCAAAATATTTTTCAACTTTATCAATATTTTTGGCAATGACATGTAATGTATTCAGAAAATGCACTATTAAGGTATGGTAGATATTTTCTCAAGATAGCATAGTTTCAGTCTATTCACTTATCTGTCTGAAACAAACGGTTTTCGGGTGATACCTTTAATTCTATTACATTACAACTACATTGTATTATGAAATGCAGACTAAGTTTTATTTTCATTGTTATAGAAAAAACTTTTGTCTGTTTATTAGCTCTTGAATAATCTTTCAAAACGGTTTGTGGATGTTTCTCCAAAAACCCGTGCTGTTGGCACAAGAATAATATCATACTTTTAATTGACTCCTTTGTCGGTACCGCTGATGTTGGACTATCAGTAATCGGGGTAAACAGCCGCCCAGTAATCATTCAGTATTGGCATGCTTAGATGATAGAGTTTGTCTGTAATAACATTGATATTTTTAGGCAACGTAACTGTTCCAATTTTACTGCATCGTGTGCGCATTCATACAATTAAAGTCTTTTTGATGATGCCTGAGAACAAAATATTTGAAAGTCAAAAAATGGAGTGGAGTGAAGCTATCAGCTAAAGTGGTATTCATAACAGTAATTGTACCAATTTTACTACACCAAATGCGCATTTCGACAATTAATGTCTCTTGAGTGATGATCGAGGCTTACATAAGTCCAAAACGTAAAAGTAAAATATTAAAGAGCAGATAAAAAGAGAACCAAAAGAAAACCAAAAACCAGTTAACGAGTCAGAGCTATACACGAGGAAGACAATTTCTGAATTTAAAATGTATTTTTGAAATTTTATAACAGTTAAAGAAACTTTAAATTTCCAGTTCATAACACAATCATAGGTTGAATTCATAGATTTATTGCTGTTCTGTAAACGCCCATTTGGTTTCTATGCCATCAAACGTTTACTACATTTGGCTTTCAAACATTCGGTGTCGTGTGTAGCGAATGAAGGTTCCTCCGTGAACAGGTGTAGGCAATGCAATTGATATTTCCCACATACTTTATTCTGTTTCTTTATAAGATTCTGCAAGTGATATGCCAGTTAAAGTTGCAGCTGTACATTAGGTAGTATGTAGTTATATATATCTTTCCTTGTAAACTACTGAACAGTAGCTCTTCAACGTTTTATTAGATTTTGGAAGTGTAAATATTTCGGCCCCGAGCATCACTGAAGAGACATGAATTGTCGTAATGCACATCTGGTCCAGTAAAATTGGTACCGTTAATGTTCTTACTACTGGTCGATACCTCTGCTAGTCCTCGAGGGTATCATCAGCCAGAACTTCGGTACTAGTATGAAAATACGTATATTGTAAGATTGAAATTTAAAGTTTATGAAATTTTGGAAATAAATTTAAATTTAGGAATATATCTGCCTCTTGGAAAGCTCTGATTCATTGTCAAGATTTGGCTAAAGTTTTGGGTCTTTTTTTTGTTTGATCAGCTCTTCAAAGTTTTTATAAGTTTTCAAATATTTCGGACCTGAGCATCACTGACGGGACACCAATTGTCGAAAAGCGCATCTTGTCCAGTAAAATTGGTACCGATAATGTTATTGATACCAATTACAACAGAAATATTCTTTGTTGGGTTCGTTTCTATTGTTTGGTGTTGGTCTGCCAATGATTATGGCAACCAGTAAGTATGTAGCCTTATATACATTTGAGGTTATGGGAATTGTTTTTTAGAAAATCTTGGTACACTTGTATACTAAATATGACAGGTGTTCTTGTGTAGGGGCAGTGGAATTGAGTGAGATTCTTTAAAATATAGAGATGAATATTACAAATGTATATGTCACAGGATTCTAGGGGCGAGTGATTTTAAATACCACTGTTCCTTTTGCTGTCGAAACTTAAGTAATGATCCATGTATCGTAATTTATTGACAAATTGTAGACTGTTTGAAGAAACTGGTATGTCAATAGATGCATCATATGGTCAGCATAAGTACTTAAAAAGGTAGAAAGAGGTTGCTACCCAAAATTTTCTCACCTAAACTCTCTTGTATTTATTTGTGTGTGCTCATAAGTAGTATTTTCCGCAATAGTTATTTTATTTTAATTACATTTTAATATATGATTTATACCATGTACATGTAATATAGAAAGAACTTTTATAAGCTGTGCCTGTTGAATCCTTTCCTTATCTTAACGAATAAAATTTGTTTAAAATCAAATCCCTTAAAAATGCAATATATATTCTTAAATTATTATAGGTATTTGTCTTTTCCAAAAACCTGATTCAAAATCGAACCTAGTCAAAATTTGATTTTTCATAATATTGTTTTTTCTATACATATTTGAATAAATGTCATCATTAAGTGAGAGGCTATGCAATATCAAATTACAATAGTTGCTAAGTGTGTTTTTATAGTGATATTATACAGATTGGGATACCCGTTTTAAATTATTATACCATAATACAAACATTTTAACGTTCATGATAATCAAATCTTGATTGATTGTATTAATTTACTCTTCAGGAATACGTTTGGTGTTGCGTGGTAAAGCTCATGTTGAATGGAGGATTACCAAAGCTGGTGAAAGAAGAACAGTAAGAGATGACGAATATTACATCGACGAGAAAAAAGTCATTTGGGGCAAAGGTATTTATCCTTTGACATATACTTGACATGCATTGAATCAGTCCGAATAAATATAAAGCATCAGACAGAAAACTAAATCGGTTTCACTGATGAATTGATGTATAAATCACCAGCTAAAACTATTGATCACTGTATGTTGATAGCCATGTATTTGAAAGATTGCATCTTAAGTATTCGTCTTAATAGAAGAAGAGAATATGTTCTGTGCGATCCTTTACGACAAGCAAAGGAAAATGTTTAAATCGTCATAAGTTTTCGAATTCATTTAGCAACCTTTGACATAATTGTTTTAAAGATGAGATGTATATAAACTCATCATAGATACAAGGATTAACATTTGGTTGGACACGCGTTTCGTCTACAAAAGACTCATCGAATCCAAAAAGTTAAAAAGGCCAAATAAAAAACGAAGTTGAAGACCGTTGAGGACCCAAAATCCCGAAAAGTTTTGTAAAATACAGCTAAGGTACTAATAATCTATTTCTGGGGTAGAAAATGCTTAGTGGTTATGGTACTTTAAAATCCTTTCGGACTTTTCCCCTGTATAATTTCTATGAAGTTTCATTTAAATTATCACTTAAGTCGAAATGTTCTGGATTAAATCGACATTCCAGCGCTTTATAAACCATTTTTGAAATCCGATCCAGTCATTTTGATTGCAAATCTTTTTCCAATACCTGTGGACTTATCCTCAAAAGTGAGAACAATATTGATCATTAATGGAAGGAGTCTATATCAGTGCTTTCATCCTATAAATAAAAGGTGACACGACTTATACATCAAAGAACAACGAACAAACGACAGAAAAAATTAGAGACAACCTAGACAAAAGCATTAAATCCTCAAAGATCTTCAAACAATATTGTCTATGCAATATGATGATCTCTAAACTGCCTTGATTCTTAAAGATGTGATTTAATTTATCAGAGATCTGATATCAATTGAAAGGACAAAACATTAAGATATTACTTAAGACGACTGTTGACAAGGTTCCTTTCTTAGAACAGTATAAGAACAAGTGGAGGAATTAAGCTAGTTAAAACGCTCTATCCTCTCACTTTGAAAACTTGATCAGTCAAAAAGGAACAGGTATATGAAGAACAAAATATAAATGTCAGTCTAGAAAACATAACTTTACATTACTGGTACAGTAGACAATAAAAAAAACCATAAATACTAGTTAGTAGTAAAACATTCTTAATAATACTGAAAGCATGCTTTAAGTACTTAACAGGCTAACCTATACTTAAGTCAAATCTAGGCGTTTGCACTTGCATGGGAGTATTTCTCTAAGCAACGTTCTTAAAAAATACAGAAAAACACAATCTTATGCGATACTATTTGAAAAATCAAAAACAGTTTATGTGATGTATAAATGAAGAAAAAAAACTTATTGTGCTTTACAACGTATATATTGTAGAACAAAGCTTATTAATTAAACATGGTAAACACCAAATCTATTCCTGAAATAATTTACTCTTGGCATTTAAGAAACAAACATTTTATCACACATAATATATCTATTTCCCTTATTATACTCCCATTTAATAGTTAAGATAGCTAATTACGTTCTACTTTCTGACAGCTTCTTCTCCTGTTGAATGTCGTTAATTCTTTTTATGACATAGCTTTATTATTATTATGAGGACTAATGCATGTTAATTAACACATTTTAAGTCGATTGCTTAATCGTTTTATATAAGGGCCTTTTCTCGCTGTAGTACATAAATCAAGCCAGTACAAAAGCACTTCATATTATATAGAACATATGATTATATAAGAACAACAAGCTTAACGCTTCTATAAAATATGTTATTTGTTGAGCATATGATCAATTCTAATTATCAGATTAGATATCGCTATATTTTTCTTTGTTTTTATGATATTAGACTTCTAAACTCTCTGCACTAGTCTATTGGATTACTAATAACTCAATTTTCGGACATTAAATCAATATGAATATGATATTTTGTGAAACAAATCCGCAAAAAAGTCATTGTGGTCCATTAGAAAAATGTGTATAAGCTTTCTACAAGAAACCAATAAACTATTTAAAAAGTCAAAGGAACGATCTAACTGAAAAGAAAGGACTTTTCCGAAATAATCCTCTTCAGGTACCGTTGACTGTTACGTTTCTCGTTGTCAAGTCTAATGGCATGTTTGCTAAACGGTGATAAATAGAGAATATCATATGGCTTTTTCAATATCACATTCGTATCAACCCGAGACACCAATATAATCCCAAGAGCTCTGCTCGAGGGATTATATTGGTTGAGGGTTGATACGGTGTGTGATATTGAAAAAGCCATATCATATACACTTTATTATATACAAATATCTCACGTAGATGTTTTTATGTGACATGAAGTCATACAGGTACGGAGGTTTGAAATGACGTCATACAGATTATAGGTTTGACATGACGTCAAAAGATTAGGGGTTTGATAAAGCTATTGAAATTGCAATCGATGACGTGACGTCATACAGATTAAAGGTGTGATAAAGCCTTTGCAACCGTGCTGATATCGATATCATCACGGGTGGCTGATACAGCACGCTTGCCAATGATTGTATTACACATACAATTTATCTGTATTTACTACTAAGTATATAATAAATATAATTACACTATAAGTATGTATATTATAGATAAACATGAAGATGGTGGGATTCCTATTATGCCTAGAGGTAACCATAGATACAACTTTCAGTTCAAGCTGCCAGAAAGTGCGCTCCCTTCATCATTTGAGAGCAAAATTGGAACGATCAGATATTACATCCGAATGACAATGGATATTCCATATTCATCATCTCCACAAGGAATAAAGTATTTCACAATCGTTGGTCCCCACATTGATTGTATGGAAGAGAAATATCTGGTAAATGTTTATAAACCATTATCTTCTTTACCACCAACATTAAAAAATGGTACAAGTTATGATATAATTGTTATACTGCGATAAAATTATACAGCAATGAAGACTATACACATATATAACTCATGTGTAATTGTTTGTTTTCACGGAATGCTGGTTCTTGGGGATGTCCGTGTAGTATATATAATGATAATGCAAGTAATGCTTTTCAAAATACTATTTATCCAAAACCTGCAAATATTGACGTTATTTCTATGAATATTAGTTGTGATGAGATAAAAATGCGATGCGATAAATAATATATTTTTATGAGTGGTATTAATACCCGTATTCATATGAAGTCTATATATGATATATTTGTTTGTTGATTTTTTAGGATGAAGGATTAGGTATTTGTTAATTTCACTGCCCTTGCTATTCTATTGCGTAAAACCATTTTTTAGTGTCCATGTTGTTGCAATACGATCGACAATTATAATTTTGGCTAGGGAAATTTTAATTACAGTGAAAATTGAAATTTTTGTTTGAGCTGAGTAGTTTGTTTAGATATTTCAGTTGTTATTTTTATTGAAATAAAATCGTTTTGGCTTATTTTATTCAACATATGCATGGAAAGTGTTTTAAATTAACAGCATCGTATTTTTTGACAGACTCCAACCAGAGGAAGTGATAAGAGGAATTCGTGTTGCCTTTGTTGTAATCGGGGGCCAGTAAGTCTGCAAGCAGAACTTGAAAGAAGTGCTTATTGCTGTGGGGAAAATCTTAGATTAAAAGCTACAGTTCAGAATGGAAGTTCACAAGAAGTTTGGTTATTTTGTAAATTAGTCCAGGTATAGTATACAGAAATAGACTTCTAGTTCAATAAAAACTGTTTGACCAATGTTATATGTTAATGAGTCCGTTAAATGTTTTATTCTTACGTAAGTCTAGATAAAAATGAATGTAACTAGAAAATATGATCAGAATACATCAAGTGTGGAAAGACAAACAACAACATAACCGAAAGAAAAGGCACAACAACAAAAAAACATCAGGCAAATAAAGCAGAAACTACATATATAGATATACTATCTAAAAATTACTTTAGACCATTTAAATAATATAAAAATTGCTTACTGAGATCTAAATAATTTGTAAAGAAAAAGAAGAAAGCTCATATTATGCAAAGTCCGTAGTCAGTTGTTTCTATTTATCAGTGAGTAGCTTAAAATTTATTGATAAATTGTTGTTTGATTAAGGTCGAAAACTTGTTAGGCTATAAATGAATGAATTTACCGTGTCAAAGCAATGTTGATGACAGACAGACATCTCCATTGTCAAAAGAAAAACACTAAAAAAACCAGCACTTTATAGAAAACAAAAGATTTGACATGATACTTACATGAGCAGCGCGACGGATGCCACATGTGAAGCAGAACCTGCTTACCCTTCCGGAGAACCTGAGATCACCTCCGGTTTTTTGTGTGGTTCGTGTTGCTCAGTCTTTAGTTTTCCATGTTGTGTACAGTTGTTTGTCTTTTGGTCTTTTTCTTTTTTTTTACATTGGCGTTTTCACTTTATTTCGACTTATGAGTTTGAATGCTCCTTTGGTATTTTTCGCCTCTCTCTTACGCTTTTATTATATCAATTTATTTATTTTTAGAAGAAATCTCTTGAAAATTACCCTGTTTTTGTACTTATTAAAAAAAAATAGTTGTAACACAGAAAATTAAATAATAAGTTATCATACATAAAGTGTTGCATATTGTACATAAATATCAAAATTAAAATGCATATCCAATCATATTTAGTATACTTAAACATATTTTTGTTCATTTGGTTTGCTTCCTGTTTGTCCATTTTTATAAGCTGTAATATCTGTCCTCCGAATTCCGATTTGTATTGTCCCCCTAGGGTAACTCCTATTATTTTTAACCATTGTTTATTAGCTTATACCTCCCTTTAATAGGCCATTAATTGGCAACCAAGGTAAAGTAAGATAAATTATACATTAGAGTATAGACTGATACAAGTGTAACAAAAAAAAGAAAAGATTCAAGGACAGAAGATATGTAAAAAAGTGAGACATGTGGCCAGTATTACATGTGTATACAATGAATTTTTTTTCTACATTTTGTTTCGATTTTGGGATAAACCAGCAATGAGACAGCAAAAGAACAAATAATAAGATATATGGTAGGCAAACGTTCGCGTCATTTGTAAAAGACTTAATCATCCCGATTCCAGACTAGTCGTAAACTAATTCAATAGAAACCACCAAAGAAGATTCCTTTAAGTTTATGACTTTTGTTTATTTTCAACATTATCAAACATCACAACGTTAGAATGACATCTATCAAAGTCAAATCCAACTTGTGTGTTCCTAGCACTGTGCTAAAATATCGAATGAATTCTCTGAGGCATCTAAAGGTGTTAAGTAAAATCTTAGTTTCAAATTTCCAAGTTACAATACAATCAAAATACGTTTATGCAATACGTTATACATTGATTTCAGATGAATTTGGTTATTATTTTTTGTGTTGTTTTGTCAAATAGCTCTTCAACTGCTTTGGTCCTTATACACACTTGACTTTCAAATATTCGGTTTTGAGCGTTCCTTTTGAAGATTAATCCAAAAAAGTGTTGTTTTCATTTTTTATGAGAAACTTAAGAATTTGTAAAATGTAGCAGTACTTAATAAATGTTGGCCAATGAAAAATAAATGTGTTGGCACTTATTGATTCAATAATGGACCAAACGGTGTAACACCACAACATAAGAACAACAAAAAATCAGTTTGAAATGGCTTGATGCATCAGATCTGCACGAAGCACACATAACATGTAACATAAAGATTAAAGACAAAAAATACCCATCCCAAATGTACTCGCAGTTACTGAAAGCTAGTACATATACATTTTTGCAGGAATGCTCAAAGCAAAATGCTGATTACGTCAAAAATGAAAAATGTATAAGAGCTTATTGCCTAAAAGGGGTCTAATAAAGAAGAGCCTAACTCTGTAAAGAATTAAAGAGTAGAATGATTAGAAATTTCGTCCTTTTGTCATCTAGAAAATCATTTAAGCTTCAAATTGGGAGTTAAAAAATCATTATGTCGAAACCTTTGCAGACCGTTGTTTGTCTTTCGGTTTTTTTTCAGTGTTTTGACAAAGGTATTGTCGGGTTTTCGACTTGTGGTTTTTGATTGTCCCTTTGGTATCTTCTGAGTTTAATTTCTGTTTTCAACATATTACTTATCTTAATTTTACCATTTCCACATTTCACAGTTAATAAACAGTTATTGCAATGTAGCATAGACAGCTTGGTGCATGTCTCATAAGTACTTGATATATATACAAACAAATACAAACGAGACTCAATTGTTACAATTAATTAAAGATATGTTAGATTGATCACTCTTTGCAACAAATAGTATCCACGCTAGGGAATAAGACGATTACAAGATTTATAAATTGCAGAAGTATTCCCACGCAATACATCACTCTACAGACAAATATTGATATATGAATGAATAAACAACCATAACTGAAGTATGCCAAAAAACGCATCATACTTAGTTTTCATTTAAAGTGAAATGTAATAACACTCTCTGCTATTGAAAATTGTATACATCTACATGGATACAATATGTAGGAGTAATTGATTTTCATGCGTTTGTATTAGATATATATTAAAAAGCATCAAGAAGCGTAGACTGTAAGAAAAATAGCTGACAAATATGTAAATTAATATTCTAAAATACTATTTTCATTTCCATCGTTTATCAGACAAGTACTGTCTGGTTCAGGTGAAATGTGATAACAGCATTTCAAAATAATCATATAATAATGGATTGCTTTTTGACTTTGTGTATACAGCAGAATAACATTCAATTCTACCAATTTTACTGCACCAGATGCGCATATCTAAAATGAATGTCACTTCAACGCCAACATTTTTGAAAATACAAAACCTAATACATTGGTTGTTGAGCTGATATAAAAGAAAAAGCAAAAAAGTGTAGACAAATCGGAGCTTACATAAGGGAGATATATTTTCAAATTTCACATGAATTCAGAAAGTGTAAATAACGTGTATTGAAAAGTAAAAAGACCATTTTGAAATATGGGATTTTTATAAAGAGATAATTTACAAATGTAGCTTCAAGTATAAGAATTTTCTTTCGTTACAGATTGTAGATTTCTTCATTAATAAAGGAGTACTAGGACTAAGTAAGTCTGCATCACATCGGGTTTGGGAATATAAAGGAGAAAATGTATGTCCAGATCACAGTGAAAAATTTGACAACCTTCACTGTCTACTCCAAGTTCCAATCATGCCACCTACCATTATGTTAGAAGTTTGTAGTGTCATCCAAATTTCATATGAACTACAGGTAAATAACCACTTTTAGTTTTTAGAATATAGCAAAGTGCTCTCGACCAATGAAATTGTAGGACTTGATGCCTCTTAATTGTGAAGAATGAATGCAAATCATGTTCTTAGTAAAGGATTATCCTATTATGTGGGTCTATTTACAGTTCAAAACAAAGAGTTTCTATAAATGAGTTACAACTGTCCCGAAGCACATTTATCCGATTGAAAGGATTTATCACACAGTGATTGAAACTGACTAGAAGTTGAATTGTGAAACAAACAAAAAACCCTAAATAAGTTGAAGTTTACTGTGCAGAAAAATTGGCACCGTTAATGTTATTATGAAAATACTAATAACTTCAAATTACCAAATAATTAAACAATATCAAAGCATTTACAAAAAATTAAAAAAATACCTCAATCTTTAGCTTTCCAAAACTTTGATCACTGGATCAGCGTTTTGGAAGAATAGTTTTTTCCAATATTCCGATGAAAAAAAAAAAAAAAAAAAAAAAAAAAAAGAATGTAATTTTAAGTCTTGAACATATTAAAAAACTTTTATAAAAGGCATTTTATTTGAACATTTCCCTGGCATAATGAAATAGTATTTGATGTAAAAACCGGACCAAAATATTGGCTGTTAAATAAAATTTAGTTGTTACTCAAATGTATCAATTGATTTAAACTGTAAATTAAAAAAAAAGGATAATTCCTCACTAAAATATTACATGATTTACATTCATACTCACAATCAGGAAACATATACAATTCCTACATTTTATTTGTTCTGTTGTGTCACCTAATATGTATAATGCATTTTTAAAAAAAATATTTCCCAAATGATAAGAAAGTCTTTACATCACTAAATCTTATCCATAAATGAAATGCCTAAAAAGGAGTCATGCATTAATTATAAACATTGCACTGACAATGAAACTAATTCTTAAATACAACCAATTAAGAGATCGTTTGAGCCTTGAGCACTTTACAATATTCTAAGTTTGTAAAAGAATGATAATCCATTACTTCATGAGAAGTACTCGCTAACGCTCGTACTTAATCATGAAGAAAGGGATTATCATTCTCTTACATATACTTAATTCTATCTCGTATGAACTAATGGTCATCATTAATTGTGATTTCACAAAGATCCCTAATGAAACATTCGATTATTGTAAAATATACAGTTGGTTTGTATATCTTTGATGAACTACAATTAATTGAAGTCATATGAAACGAGTGTCTGATGATATTAATGTTAAGTAAACTATTAACCCAATCATGAAGAATGTGAAATTTATTGAAAAAGTAGAACAATGTGTATTTTTTTCGTTTATACTTTCCATACATTCCCATTTGTTAATTAAACTTTGTAATAACAGTTGTTTATTGATTTGATGTACTAGCATTTTCTTTCCGAATCTGGTAATATTCCACGTGTTTACTTTTTCTAACATCCTGGCTTTTCCCTTCACACTTATGCTGTGCGATAGCGGAATATTTAACGAAAGGTGTAAGGGTTAAAGTCACTGCATACAGGAAAGCTATCGGCCAATAAGAATAAGGAAAGATAATGATTCAATAGAAGTATACATTTCTGAAGATTTGGATAAAATAAAGGAATTTTTTAAAGGGGCATTTGCTGTCAAATTCATGTTTACCGATTTGATTCAAATTCTCATATTTGATTTATTACATACTAAAACGTATATCCAAATTAAAAAAAGTCTGAAATAAACAATTTACAATGCATGAGTTCGATAATATGTATCAGCATTTCGTGTGTATTTTAGTCTAGACGCCATCCAATTAACCATCGAGGTGACCTCCGAAGACTGCCGACGGTCATATAACCTGATATAAGCATAAATATAGATATTAATAGATAGCAAACTCGTGGAATTTGATTTTTCTAGGTCTGTTTTATTACATATTATAGGTTAAAAATATATGTTGATAACCGTTTTTACCTGAATAAGAATGAGTTTTGGTGGATCGAATCAGTCAATCAAATGGTTTACCCTTGTTTCACTTTCAATGTTGACATTATTTTCCTTTTAATAACTGAACACGCCTAATTCATGCGTAACCTATCTCTAGCTAATGGGTTAAATGGAAGGTCACATGCATACGGATTCAATGAAATCGAATTATTCACTTGCACGTGTTACATAGTAATACTGAAAATCATTGTAGTACATAAAACAAATTCACCTTTTTGTTAAATTTGAAGGATTATATTACTTTAAAAGCTAGTGTTGTCGTCTCAGTATCGTATCAGTATCGTATAAACTGAAGTTCAACTTTGTGGTGTCATCCAATGGTTTATGAGCTAGGTGCAATTAGAAGCTCTGCTTTGTAGATGTGTTCGATCTCGTATAAATCGTATCGTCATGAACTTTGTAGTGTCCTAGAGATCTTTTATTGCTGCAAGTTAAAGAAAACAGCGCCTTATAAATTTCGTGCATCCGAATCGTTTCATGTAATTCGTGCAAAAAAAAGCACCATGTTTGAATCATACATTCATATTTACTTGGTCCCTGAAGCATCCCTGAATGTGTATGTAATATCTTCTATTTGCATATATTCTAAATTTACAATAAACACATATATAAAATTGAGAATGGAAACGGGGAATGTGTAAAAGAGACAACAACCCGACCAAAGAGAAGAAAACAGCACCCGGAGGCGGGCTTCAGCTGGCCCCTAAACAAAAATGTGTGTTAGTTCAGCGAAAATGATCGTCACACTAAACTCCGAAACATATATATGAACCAAAATTAAAAAAATCATACAAGACTAACAAAAGCTAGAGGTTCCTGACTTGGGACAGGCGCAAAAATGCGGCGGGGTAAACATGTTTTGTGAGATCTCAACCCTCCCCCTATACCTCTAGCCAATGTAGAATAAACAAACACACAGCAATACCATAGTAAAACTCAGTTTAAAAGAAGTCCGAGTTCGATGTTAGAATAGGTAACAGAAGAAACTATGCTAAATGACAATGATTAACATAAATTAACAAAGGACTACTAGCAGTTACCGACATGCCAGCACCAGACCTCAATTAAACTGATAAAAAGTTTATGTCTTCATCATATGAAAATCAAGCACAATCACTCCCGTTTGGGGTTTAGTATCATACCATCATAAAATATACGAGAAGAACATAACCCGTATCATGCCAACAACTGGTTTTAGAATAAATGTGTTTATTTTCGATGCATAGACCCTATGAGTGAGTCAATATTATTTCCAAAAAAGCCATCTTTAATGACCTGCCAGCAGTATCGTAACTATATCCCTCCTGAATAAGTCTGTTTAAAGGTTTGGTTAGCTTTTGAGGTGAATGACGACATTTGTATGCTTTGTATAGAATATTACCATAAAAGATTGGATGTGAAATACCTGAACGTACATATATATTTACTTGATACATAAATTTTACAGCATGAAGTTTTGCAGAATGGGTTAATATTATGTTATATCAAAATAATTCAAATAATAGCACATAATAAAAAACTGTTTCTCTCAACATTTCTTATTTAAGATATGGATATTAACAAGTTGTAAACTCAAATGGAGTCGTGCCAATCTGATGAGTGATGCCATTTCCAACTTATTTGCACAGTCCGTTCTTTTGTTGTGCTGTTACACCACTGTTCCAGGTTATGGGCCTTTAATTCAGTTGTTTTCGTTGATTTCTGTCTGTTATTCTGGTTTATCGTTTATTGTTTTTTTTTTTCATTAACCAGGTCGTTGGTTTTGTCGTTTAAATTGCTTCACATTTTGTCATGTTGAGGCCCTTTATAGATGACTATATTGGTTTTGTTCATTGTTTAATGCCGTACGGCGCCCTATAACTGCTTACATCGACGTCATTTTGACTCTGGTGGATGTGTATAAAAGAATCCAGCTTTTAATTTAGTAAGCGAAACGAATGTTGCCTTTTCATTAGACTCATCGGTGGCGATCTCGAATCAAATCAGTTGGACTGCTTAATCGTAAACAAAGTTGAGAAGCATTAAAAACCATCAATTGTAAGAAGTAGTAATTTGGCTGAGGCAAGTTTGAATGATTTTAACATTTAATTTACAGTAGATTAACAGAACATGACCACATCAATATTTCATATCAGTAAAGAAACACTGACTATTAGACAAGTGATGCCCTCGGGAACGACACGTCCACCAGCAGTCACTCGCTGGTTGTAAAAACTAATACAACAATACCAGGATTATGATAAACTAGTCCAGGCGCCCGTAAGGGGTAATATAAGAGTCGTTAGATCTTTCTCGAATCAAAACAGTTGGAAGGCTAAACAAGTAACAAAATTGAAATGCATTTACCAAACAAAAAGTCCATAAAGTTGTGCCATCTATGCCCGTCGGTAGAAATCTTTAATGTTTTTAATGATTGAACAACCTCATTTCAATATATCATAGCAGCACAGAAGCGCGGACTACTGGGTTGATGATGCCTTCCGGTCTGTCTAACGGTTTAAAATGGTCGTACTATTTTTTAATTTCATGAAAATGCAGTTATCTAAGATCTTTATTCATTTATTACATATTGTTTTTGGTTTTCCACGAATCACATGTGTAAACTTAACAGGTTTTTCACTGAATTACTGTGGTATCATTGTTTTTCATGAGCTACCCATTTTCGTGGATTTTGTGGTATATGCGAGAACCTTGAATTTAAATGTTTAACAAAATAAAGTTTCTTATAGACGTCTATGCAAAATTTTTCAAACCCACAAAATAAAGTGTAAACGAAAATATTTTTTACTCAATCCACGGAAATGAATGATTCTACAGTTATACATAAGGCAGTTTACTGCCTGGTATTTTTCTTGTGGCTTAGAAAGTTTTTGCTATATTTCAATGCATTCATCAACAGGTATGCTTGATAATGGCGGATAAAGGACAAGTTTTAGAGCTAGACTTTCCCATTACTGTGGCTACAGCTCCTTACCGTGTCACAAATGCACCATTTCCTATCTTACAATATGGTAAGTATAATAAAAATATACAAATTTATGGCAAGCCGTTTTGCTATTTATTCTAACTTCAATATATCTCATAAACTTTATAAGATATCTTCTATAGTTTATAAGATATCTTATATAGTTTATAAGATATCTTATATAGTTTATAAGATATCTTATATACTTTATGAGATATCTTATATAGTTTATGAAATATCTTATATAGTTTATAAGATATCTCATATGATTTTCGTTATAAGATATCTTATATAATGTTCTTTATAAGATATCTCATGAATTATATAAGACATCTTATAAACTATTTGAAATTATATAAGATATCTTATATATCAAATGAGATATCATATATATTATATAAGATATCTTATATATTATATGAGATATCTTGAAATTCGAATAATCTGTGTTGGTAGTCATCTGGAAAATAGAGGCCACATATTGAATAAAAGAGAGGTGAATGAGACCAGAGGAACATTCAAACTCATTAGTCGAAAACAAAAAAGGGCGAAAAGACGAACAACAGTACACAAAACACAACACAGGAAACTATAGACTGAGCAACACGAACCCCACCAAAAACCGAGGATAATCTCAGGTGCTCCGGAAGGGTAAGAAAATCCTGCTCCACATGTGAAACCGGTCGTGTTACTCCTATAAAATATGTTGATACGTTAAAGTAAGTGATTAGGCATCACGCAATAGCGGATTGGCAATTGACTCTCATATAACCATAAGACATCACCAAATTCAATAACCATCGTTCTCGTAAACTTTCTACACCTAAAACTTAACCAATTGCGTAATTTTGAAATTGAAACAACTTTTTCATGACAAAGGATAGACAGGACTGTTATCGGTATAAACATCACATACATTCAAAAAGTAAAAAGCACAAAGAACTACTCTAAAAACTAAATCAAGAATGACACGAACCCCTTTTAAACAAGACATGGGGTGATTTCAGGAATTAGTTTGTTTTTGTAAATGTACAGTTAGGTTGAAATGTTCAAATTGTCAAAAGTATGAAGATATAATAATGGTAATAAAAAAAATTGGCAAATAAATAATACATAGATGTACTGTTATCGACTTCTAGAAATTCCACTCAAACAAGTGTCAGAGACCATCTTACAGGGAGCAGTGAATTATTATTGCTCCTTGTTGAACTCCTCATGATTGAGGTTTTGAACGTTGTCTCTTATCTTTAGGTTTTGTCACGTGTTTTTAGTGAATTGTATCATGAATTGATGCACCATTTTTTCGATCAAATTTTCTTCACTTGAAATTTGAGGTTGATTATCATAATATAGTTAAGCAATGTAAAAAAAATGTCGGTTAGAATTTAAAGATATGTTAAAATCAATTCTTATCAGTATCTTTTAGTTGCTAAGGCACCCCCTTTATCCTACTATTTAGAGACTTGATGATATTAATATTAATAGAACAGTACATACCCACAAAGGTTGGAAAACTGATATGACGTGTATAGAGATTAAAAAAATGGGATTAATGATCAGATAAGAATTCCATTGAAAGGTTAAGTTTCAATATTTAATTATTAGCAACTGTTTTTGCGATGATTCTACTTCATTGCACTTTCATTCATCGTCACAATATTAAGTCTTTTGCACATTAATTATAGTCACTACTTGTGTAAAAAGACGGTCGCCTAAACATCTTAAATGTTACATAGTCACTCCATGTGTTAAAACGTATCTAGACACAAGTACCCATTACAAATACTGAAATTACTGACAGTATTTCACAAAAGTATGAAACTTTCTATTGAAATGTCTTAATTCTTATGAGATGTTGTATATGATTTTGGGACTAATGATTACTATTATTTCTTCAAAATATACACTTCCTTTAACAGATCATGCAATTACAAGTGTTGAAGGAGGCATGTATGTCAGTTCGGAATTTCAGCTGGGCCAAGTGTACATTGGAGAAGGGGAGGAACCCGACGATGAAGTAATATTGTATCGACCTGTCTATGTGTGTGTACCTCATGAGAAAATCATGGTTACAAATATAGACAGGGAAGGTCATATGAGTCGAGCTGGTTCTAGAATTTCTATGACTCGACTGAATGACAGGAAATTTCAGTTAGACTCTAGATCGTCCAAATCGCGGTCTGAAGAAATTAAACGAGAGGACAGTATAACTGATTCTCCAGTTCTAGAAAGGAGTAGGACATTATTGAGTCCTGATAGTGCAAGTATTGACAGAGGTAGTGACATTGAAGTTAACAAAACTCCATCAGAAGATATTTCAAGGTCGGAACCGGAAACGCCTGTTAGTATTTCGGAAACGCCTGTTAGAATTCCGGAAACGCCTGTTAGTATTCCGGAAATTAGTAAATCAGAGGAAGTGACGTTACATCTGGAGGACATGGATAGTTCCGTAACTGATCTAAACACTTTTAAAAACTGCAATGGCACATCAGTTAAGGCTGATATCTGCAAGGAAAGTAGTGAAAATGTGGTGAACGATTCTGTTGTTAATAAAACTGTATCACAAATTGCAAAAAATCCAACAGGAGAATCGAATGACAGTACTGAAACGTTAAATTGCAAAAAAATGTATGCAAATGATGAACCTGCAAATATAAAGTGTGATCATACACCAGATGTGATCCTTGTTCAGTCAGATCAAGAAACGACAGAACTGTCAGAGAATACATAAACGTAGATAGAATGTACAATTGATTAATTTATGGTTGAAACTTATAAATAACAAAACTGGCTTGATATTTGAAGATAGGTCTATTGGGATAATCGTAATATAAATCCACTATGAAAAACAGTTGTCAACAATTTTCGATACAAACACTGATGGTGAAGATCCCAGACTCGACATCAATTTAAGTGTCATATATATTCATTGATGCCTATTTGATACATTTGATGTTTTCTATATTTCTACTATCAGAGCATCTTAAATATTGTAGTGTATTTTTGTAGTGGTCATTTTTTTCACGAAAAACGTTTTCGTTATACCATTATTTTCTTTACCATGTGTCATTAGTCATATTCATTTAAGGAACTATAACTTTAAGACTCAAATCAAAACCAAAGAGAGACAACAAGAGCGATAATATAAACAATTCAAAACCACATGAAGACAACATGCTAGGGACAATAATTTTATAAAACTAAAACCTCACAAAGACCTATGTACGGACTTCTAATTAATAAAACTAAAGCCATGTTAAGACAGCAAGTAATGAACAATGATTTATTTAAGTAAAAACTAAAAAAAAAAGTTTTATAAAACTAAAAACCTCAAAAAGACAACAAACAAGAGTCGATAGTAAATTATAAAAACAAAACGAAAACAATATACAAGGAACAATAATTAATAAAACTAAAAACCTCTCAAAGACAACATGCAAGAAAAAAATTATTTATAAAGATAAAAACAAACACGAAGACAAAATTCGAGTGAAAATATTTAACAACAAATAAAACCACATGAAGGCAACATGCAAGGAGCAATATTAAAAAAAAACTCATTTTATGTTTATCGTAAATTGAAAAATGATCCTTTCTGAACAGGAAAATAGTAAGAAGTTCTGTCTTTGAAGGATTGTGTATACAACCAAAGACACAGTTGCCCATAACAAATATACAGGTAAAAATAATATACCAATTTCAGTATTTGATATTTACAAGTCAAACAGAAGTAGTTACCAATTTCAAACACTACAAAAATGAAAGATTGAAACTGGAATTGGAATCCACGTAAAAATATTTTTTTTGGATCACTATCGCTTTAAAAAAAGTTTGAATTCTTCACATGAAATATACTAAGAGAATAATATCATCAATTGTGTTTACGATTATTTTTACAAAAATAAACTTAGAGAATTAAATATTATAAATCGTGTTAAAAAAATAATAGAAAGAAATGCAATGGCAAATATTTTACTGCATATACAGATCATGTTTATGTTTCTTTTTTTTAAATATTGAATTATTATTGCTTATTAGATATTATAAACATTACCTATCGGTTTGAGATAGAGTAGTCGTCTTATCTTTACATCTACCGATTGTGTCCTACTCCCTATTAGGACATTTTGACTACGTGCAGATTCACATGACAGGTGGTGCTTGCATACCCTGTCGACGTACCCGACCCAGCTCCTTTTAGTTTTCATGCGATTTATTTAGTTTAGTTTTTTACCCTGACTGGAATGTCCTTAATGGATTTGTGAGATTTTAACATCGATAAACTACGGTTGACTTTTGTTTACATTAATTCTATCCTTTAAATGGTTGTAGTCACAACAATAACTTTGTTTTATTTTTAATGCAATGAGTATTGAAAGTTGATATTGGATGTAAGATATTTCAGTCAATAAAAACAACCCCAAAACAACAAAACGCATGCATTGTGACACAACACTGTTGGTATCATTATGAAATTTCATAAAATACTTTTAAGAAGTTATTAAATATGTCAAATAAGTGTTTTCTTTTACCATATTTATTTTTAAAAATATTAATACATATATTCCAGTTCTAAATATATATATAATTTGAATGCAAATTAGTATAATGTTATTTGATATTATCTTACAATCAAATCCACAATATTTAATATAGATTTTATTTGTGACATTCCATTTGTTTGATTCATATTATATACACTCATGTTTACATTTTATTACCACTATACCATTGCCAAATTGTAATGTAAAAATATTATGTTAATCGATGAATTGGGTCGATTGTCAGGTCCAGTTTGCCGAAACAAACACCTTACATGTTGTATCAATAAATGCACAAATGCTTCTCTCTCGTATTTTGTAATTCATTAATCGTGAGTAATCAAAGAAAAGTCACCCATTTTAGATACAATGACACGTGTATGTTATCAAAGTATAACCAATTGCGGTATACATTTATAAAAGAAATTAACTTATAAGTATATAAAAATTACCGGTTAAACATTTGACTTGTAAAATAACATAATTTTGATATGCATTATGGTACGTACAGTTCAGGAATAACTTTCGAACCAAAAATTCCCAATGACTGTTTGAAAAAGCTGAGATAATGTATGCCTGGGTTAACAAAAACTCAATGATTCATACTATGAATAGTAGGTTTTCAGAAAATGACCGCATTTATGATATTTCATGCCAATACGTGAGTTACTATTCGGCTATTGATCCACTCGAAACGTAATGTCCACCAGTAGTGGCATTTACCCAGTGGTCAAAACTCGTTAAAATACCAAGGTTATAATTTAGTACCACTGACATACGCTTCGTCTACACAAAACTGTTTAAAAACAAAATAAACTACAAAGGTATAGAGCCGCCCAGTAACCCCAATAAACGTCCTTATAATGGTGTATTTTTCAAACTTCATCTGTTTCAGTAAATCTAGTGTGCAGGTTTTGCTAAATGTATTATTTTGAAATTTAAAGTATATTAAGAAAAATTATATATCTGCTTCATATTTATAACCATCTTAGCCTGAAATGGAAAAAAAAATTCAATTTAGTTCATTTATCTAGAAATTTGTCACCTTTTCGACCTTTTTTCATGATTTCAGATGTGGTGCCACCCCTCATCCATCGAAATTTTGTTTGAAAAGTAAAGAATATAGTATGAAAAGAATATTTCAGCAAACATATTTTGGGCAACAAGTGTCGCCACTGAAAATTTTTCAGATAACCGTCATAATTTTTGCATAATTATGCAAAAATCAAGTTTTAACAAAATTCACTTATATTTAGGACGTCACAAATACACCACTAATGACGCAATTTGTAAAATCTTTTTTAAATGAAACAAGTGCACATTACAACATAGTTTTCATCAAATGTTTGCAACAATATCGCACGAATAATTTTTCAGATTTTCAAGGTCAACATTATTAGTTACCGAACCAACTCAAAAGTGTGTGCCAAAAAGACCATGGTTCTTGTTTATGTACGGGGAAATGACTCTTGGTGCTTCTAAGGATTTTTTTTAAACATTTCAAGCAGCTGGCATGATACGGGTTATGTTCTTCTCATATATTTTATGATGGTATGATACTAAACCACTAACAGTAGGGATTGTGCTTGATTTTCATATGATGAAAACATAATCTTTCAATCAGTTTAATTGAGGTCTGGAGCTGGCATGTCAGTAACTGCTAGTAGTCCTTTGTTAATGTATGTATCATTGTCATTTTACTTAGTTTCTTTCGTTACCTATTCTGACATCGAACTCGGACTTCTTTTAAACTGAGTTTTGACTTCTTTAAAACTGAGTTTTACTGTGCGTATTGCTACATGTGTTTGTTTATTCTACATTGGCTAGAGGTATAGGGGGTTGAAATCTCACAAAACATGTTTAACCCCGCTGCATTTTTGCGCCTGTCCCAATTCAGGAGCCTCTGGCCTTTGTTAGTCTTAAATATTTTTTTAATTTTAGTTCATCTATATGTTTTGGAGCTCATTTCATTGAACTAGTACACATTTTTGTTTAGGGGGCCAGCTGAAGCCCTCCTCCGGTTGCGGGATTTTCTCGCTGTGTTGAAGACCCATTGGTGGCCTTGTGCTGTTTTCTGCTCTTTGGTCGGGTTGTTGTCTCTTTGACACATTCCCCATTTCCATTTCTCAATTTTATATGCAAATGTTGACGCTCAAAGGTTTACTAATTAGGATCATGGGAAATTAGAAAAAAAAAACATGTTCAATTTTCAACATCTAGTACTCCGTTGTCTACTCATCTGTCCCGTTTCATATTCTATTCGTTTGATACAGTTCATCTTTGTTATTTCACATACTAGTATGATAAACTGGTCATGGTGAAAGTCTTGCAGAAACAAACATTTGCAGGTAGTGAAAAATCCGCTTACAATAATTAAACACACAAATGAATCACCTTAAAATACTCAAAAAGCAAGAAACATCAAAACAAATCATGCCTAGTAAACAAACTTTTGCAAGGAAATGTTCTCGTGTAAAGCTGTAATATTAAACGATACCTATTCTAATATCGGACTCGGACTTCTTTTGAACTGAATGTTACTGTGCGTATTGCTGTGTGTTTGTTTGTTCCACATTTGATAGAGGTATAGGGCGATGATCTCGCAAATCATGTTTAACCACGCCTCATTTTTGCGCCTGTCCCAAGTCAAGAACCTCTGGCCTTTGTTAGTCTTGTATTTTTTTTTTTATTTTGGTTCATATACAGTCCGCCAAAAGTTAAGCACCACCTATTTTTATTGCATCGATATTTTTTTAACATATACCATAAACAAACCATAAACTTAAGTTTGGTCACTGATGCAGGTTCTATGCATTTAAATTTTGCGTTTATAGAAATAGTGCAAATTACATAAATCAGAAACGGAATTTAAGTTTCACTGTGACTTTATTTTTTTACAACAATTAATCACACAATATCATTAAAAGTCTCTACAAACAATCTTTGGTATGTTCGGCAAATTTAATGTCAATATTTGAGTCAATAGGATGTGTAACCACCTCTCTTCCGGTACAGTTCCAAAACACGGCGTCTCATACTGTGTACAAGACTTCTGAACGTTAGTTGAGGAAATCCATTCCATTCATCAACAATGTCCACTGTTAAATCACCACGATTTTGCAAAGGTGGATCTCTGCAATTGAGATTTCTGCCAATAGCATCCCAGACATGTTCGATAGGGTTCATGGGTGGAGACATGGAAGGCCAAAAGATAGTGTCAATAGCTTCTTGCTCTTTGTACTCGGTTACAATTCTTGTCCTGTGTGGTCTAGCGTTGTCGTCCATGTTCACCGTTCTTGACGCAAGTGGGTGATTATCAAAATGAGGGACTACAATGTTTCTTAGCACCAAATCCCTGTATGTCTGTCCGTTCATGTTACCCTGCAGAATATGCATACCAAGCATACAACGATATGAGAAGCAACCCTATACTGTAACACCACCAGCACGAAATGCAGTCGTTGGGCAAATATTGTGTTGGTCATAGGTAGTTTTCTTTTCCCGTCAAACTCGTATTCTGCCGTCTACTGGTTGTAACAGAAACCGACTCTCATATGACTAATGATTTTTTTGCTAGCTTCTCATGTTCCAGCGTTGATGGTCATTAGCCCATTGAAACCTGATTATACCGTGCCTGGCTGTTAGGGCAGGTCTCTTGACAATACAACGTGCTCTTAAGTTGCCTCTATCAAGTCGACGGACCAATGTTCGAACACTAACACGACAACATGGAGGCCAGTGGTGTCTAAGCTGCGAGACAGGAGTAAATGGGCTAGCTTTAGCACGACGAATAAGCAGTCTGTCATCACGATGGGTAGTTAAACGGGATCTTCCGGACCTTAGTTTATCATTTACAGTTCCTGTGTCAACATGACGTTGTAAAAGTATGACAATGACGGTGTGATTAACATTGAAATGGTTACCTATGACCCTAGTGCTCCTACCGGCATTTGACATGCCAATTTCTTGCCAACGTTCAGCCACAGATAACTTACGCCTTACTATATTACATAATGACTTGATGAAGGTCAAATTTCACCTGTACGCGGGACGGTAGGAAAATGATTTAAAGGTTTCGAAACAGTGTATTTGTAAAAGTACAGATGACCTTTAATAAAAAGTTGCTTGGCGGGTTTATCGGAGTTCAATCTTTTTAATCGAAATGAATTTTCTTAGTGTATGTTAAAGGCAACTTATAGCACCAAACATTAATAACTTTTTCGCAATAGTTAAAAAAATATTGCCATTTATATTTAGGTGGTGCTTAACTTTTGGCGGACAGTATATATATGTTTCGGAGTTTAGTGTGACGTCCATTTTCGCTGAACTAGTATGCATTATTGTTTAGGGGCCAGCTGAAGCCCGCCTCCGGGTGCGGGATTTTCTCGCTGTGTCGAAAACCCATTGGTGGCCTTGTGCTGTTTTCTGCTCTTTGGTCGGGTTGTTGTCTCTTTGACGTTTCCATTCTCAATTTTATCAATTTTACTGCGCCAGATACGCGTTTCGACTTTTTCAATTTAACGTCTCTACAGTGATGCTCGAGGCCAAAATATTTGAAAATCCAAAACCTTATACAAAGGTTAAAGAGCTGATCAAACCAAAAAGAACCTAAAGTATAGCCAAAATCCAGACAAGTAACCAGAGCTTTGCATGAGGGAAAAATATTCCTTAATTCAAAATGAATTCTAAATTTTATAACAGCAACACTCAATCAAACAATATCCATATTTTCATGTCAGTACCGAAGTATTGGCTACTGGGCTGGTGATTCCCTCGGGACATACAGTCCAACAGCAGAGGTATCGACCCAGTAGTAGTAATAATATAAACAGTACCAAATTTATTGCACCAGATTCGCATTTCGACCAAATAATTAAACCAAATTATTTGATGATTCAAAACCTTATAAAAACATTGAAGAGTTAATCAAACGAAAAAGGTCCTCAAGTACAGACATATCCGGACAAAGAATCAGAGCTTTGCATGACGGAGATATATTCCTTAATTTAATTTAACATCGGTAAACAACTGTTGCCTCTAATTTAATGTGTTGTACCATGTTCGTTGATGGAACATGAATAACCTTTTCACTAGGTTAAAGTGTAAACAGATTTGACTACAAAGTCGTTATGTTATTTAAAGTAAGGATGTGCTTACCATGATTGGTGGAAGATCAGAATATGAACTTAGACAAAATTTTAATCCTGGTATCTATGATGAGTTTATTTAGTTTACATATACAACTTCGTATATCATTTTTTTCGTTATTTAGAGAGTTAGGTTTAATGACAGATCTCTGATACATTA